TGGTACTTTCGCCTACGACTCCATACTCCAGGATACTTTTGGCTAAAATTCTGAAGGTGTTTTAAGCTGCAGATAGCTTATAGCATTAGGAAGCTGCACTTGGCCAGCAGGATGGGACTGGAAGAAGGGAAGAGAGGGGAGAGAGAGAAGCCAAATCTTGTGTCATTAAAAGACACTAAGGGAACACTGGCCCTCCAAATGTCCACAGTAACTTCCTGCAGTTCTCCCTTTTCACAAAACCCATAATAATTTTCCCGAAATCAATGCAGTTTGCTAAAAAAAAAAAAAAACCACCAAAAAACTTGGAACAAACTAAAGAATAGAAAAGGTAGTATATTCCTAAAATATTTAAAAATAGATTGCAAAAAATTTTTTGAAACCCAGAGATATTTAAAACGTGTTCTCTTCAAAGAGGACGAATAAATTCAGGAACTTCAAGAGACGAAAGAATGCCTTGCTGCTTCAGGAATACACCAGGAAACAAGAGCAACTGCTTACACGCCCAGGAGATGGAAGCCAGCCTGCTCCAAACGACTTCCCCAAAGCCTTCCCAGCTTCCCAATTCCACCAAAAGTTAAATATTTCACTTGTTCAATTAAAAAAACCCAGACGGCCGAAAGAGCAAGAGACGACACACCAGGTCCACCTGCTCTACGCTCCTCCCCTCGGGTGAAACACAGCCCACACACTCAGCAGATTCAGAACCCTGCGCTTTTTCAGCAAGCCCCTCTTAACTTTCCTTCTGGAAATCGCTGCTGCGGTGTAACAGGGCGACACTGACATTGCAGACGAGCACGAAACCCGAGCTGAGGAGCGAGCAAGGGACTTGTACACCACCGCCGCGCACAGCCCCTCCCGCCGCAGGAGCGCTGCCGGGCTCGGGCGCATCCACAGCGGGCATTCAGAGCCTCGCCTCCCGCCTCGGCAAGGGCAGCGGCCGCATGCCCCCGCCGGCCCCGCAGCCATCCGCTCCCGCCGCCCCGCCCGTCCCCCGCCAGGCTCACCGGGTCCGGCGCCCAGGCAGGCTGCGCCAGGACGAGCAGCGCCAGCAGCGCCCGGCC